AGAACTGGCACTTCTCACAGAGGCAGGGCTTTCAAGTAGCTCGCTCTTCACACAGGGGCAGGTCTCTCAAGTAGCGGCAGTTCACTCAAAGGCTGGGCTCTCAGGTTGCTGGCAGTTCACACAGGGCAGGGCTCTCAGACAGGTGGCACTTCACACAGGAGCAGGGCTCTCATGCAGCTGTCCCTTCAATCAAGGGCAGGGCTCTCAAGCAGCTGGCACCTCACTCAGGTGCAGGGCTCTCAAGTAGCTCGCTCTTCACACACAAGCAGGGTTCTCAAGGAGCTGGCAGTTCACACAGGGGCAGGGCTCATAACCAGCTGGCACGTCACACAGGGGCTGGGGCTCATACGCAGCTGGCAGTTCATGCAGGGGGCAGAGATCTCAAATAGAAGGCAATTCACACAGGGGTAGGGCTGTCTCACGGGTGGCATTTCACTCAAGCGCTAAGCTCTCAAATAACTGGCTTTTCCCTCAAAGGCAGGGTTCTGAAGCAGCTGGCACTTCAAACAACGGCAGGTCTCTCAAGCAGTGTCAGTTCACACAGGGGCAGGGCTCTCAAGCAGCTGGCACTTCTCACGGGGGAAGTGCTTTTAAGGAGCTGGCAGTTCACACAGGGGCATGGCTCCCAAGCATTTGGCAGTTTACATAGGGGAAGGACTCTCAAGCAGCTTCCGGTTCACTCAGGGGCAGGGCACTCTGGAAGCTGGTACTTCACACAGGGACTGGTCTATGAAGCAGCTGGCACTTCACACAGCAGCAGAGGTCTCAAGCAGCTGGCAGTTCACAGTCAAGGGTCTAGGGAGGGTAGACAAGTCTGCACCGCACTCGTCGGAAAAGGCTTCATAGTTCAGGACATCAGAGAGATACAGGGAAGAATCGTTGCTGAGTGATAATACAGAGTGTAACACACCGATTAGAAAATAGCATTTTCATTGATTGTGCCAGTCAAGATCAAGGGTACGACATCAGTACCAAGACAATCACGTTGCCGTCATGGTTGGTCCGAGTGTACATAACTAGATGTGATAGTGAAGGTCAAAGCAAATAGTGAAAAGAATAGTAAAGAAGTGAGTCTAAACGTCCAGCATTTAAGCTATATCGGTGCTAAGGGGGAACAATAAACCGATTACTGGTGATAAATAGTGAGAAGTTGTAGTGACCTACGCCTGGCAGCGGCGTTGACACCAGCAGGCCTATGGGAGTAAACAAGACGTCAACAGTACTTCTAACACCTATTTATGCTGTGGGATGTGAATTGGTGGTAAGGCCTCTCAATAAGTCAGTCAATCATATGGTGTACAGTCTTACTGAATATAATAGTAGTCTTGGATATAAGTTAACAAACGGAAACGATCCTCAAGAGATAATATACGGCTCACATTGGAACTAGTTTGCGGCACCTAAGTGTAAAATACAACACACACCACACTGGACAACCTCCCACCTTCTCTCACCCCCCACCCCCTCTTACCATAACACCTCCAACAGTGCACATGCAGCCTACAATCCATAAGGCCCACACCCTCCCATTCCATCCCCACTGTGGACAGGGGCAGGGCTCTCATACAGCTGGCAGTTCACACCGGGGCAGGGCTCTCAAGCAGATGGTAATTCGAACAGGGGCAGGGCTCTCAAGCAGCTGACAGTTCACATAGGAGCAGAGCTCTCAAGCAGCTGGCAGCTTAATTAGAGGCAAGGCTTTCAAACAGCTAACAGTACACATAGGGGAAGAGCTCTCAAGCAGCTGGTAGTTTACACACGGGCAGAGGCTCTCAAAAAGATGGCACTTCACACAGGTGCAGGACTCTTAAGCAAATGGCACTTCACACAGCGGCAGAGCTCTCAAGAAGCTGGCAGTTCACACAGGGGCTGGGCTTTCTAGAAGCTGGCACTTCACATAAGGGCAGGGCTCTGAAACCGCAGACAATACTCACAGGGGCAGAGGCTCTCAAGCAGCTGGCATTTCACACAGGGGCAGGGCTCTCAAGCAGTTCGTTCTTCATACAGGGGCAGGGCTTCCAAGCAGCAGGCAGTTTACCCAGGTAGCAAGGCTCTCAAGCAGCTGGCACTTAAAACAGGGGCACGGCTGTCAAGCAGCTGACACGTCAAACAGGGGCCGGCCTCTCAAGCAGCTGGCACTTCACACAGAAGCCGGGATCTCAAGTAGCAGGCAGTTCACACAGTAGTAGGGTTTCAAGCAGCTGGCGTTTGAAACAGGGGCAGGTCTCTCAAGCAGCTGGCCCTTTACACAGGGTCAGGGCTCTTAATCAGCTGGCCCTTAACACAGGGGCAGGGCTCTCATGTAGCTGGCAGTTAAATAGAGGCATGGCTGTTCACACAGGGGCAGTGCTCGCAAGCACCTGGCACGTCACACAAGGGCTGGACTCTCAAGCAGCTAGCTGTTCACAAACCGGACTGAGCTCTCAAATAGCTGGCAATTCACACAGGGGGCTGGGCTCTCAAAAAGCTGGCATTCCAAACAGAGGCAGGGCTCTCAAGCAGTTGGCACCTCACAAAGGGGCAGAGCTCTCAAGCAGATGGCATTTCACACAAGAGTTAGGCTCTCAAACAGCTGACAATACACACAGGGCAGAAACTCTCAAGCAGCTGGCACTTCAAACAGGGGCAGGGCTCTCAAACAGCTGACAATATTCACAGGAGTAGAGGCTCTCAAGCAGCTGGTTGTTCACACACGGGCAGAGGCTCTCAAACAGCTGACACTTCCCACAGAGCAGGACTCTCAAGCAGCTCGCTCTTCACTCAGGACAGGGATCTCAAGCAGATGGCACCTCACACAGGGGCAGAGTTCTCAAACAGCTGGCACTTAAATCAGGGGCAGGTCTCTCAAGCAGCTGAACGTTCACACAGGGGCAGGGCTATCAAGCAGCTGGCAGTTTGAATAGGGGCAGGGCTCTCAAACACCTGGCAGTTCACACGGGGGCAGTGTTCTCAAGCAACAGGCCCGTCACACATTGGCTGGGCTCTCAAGAAGCTAGCTATTCACATAGGGGCAGGGCTGTAGAGTGGTTGGCACTTCAAATAGGGGCAGGTCTCTCAAACAGTTGGCATTTTACAAAGGGGCAGGGCTCTCAAGCGAATGGCATTTCAAACAGCGGCAGGTCTCTCAAGCAGCTGGCAGTTCACACAGGGGCAGTGCTCTCAAGCAGCTGGCCGTTCATACAGGGGCAGCGCTCTCAAGCAGCTGGCTCTTCACACAGGGGCAAGGTTCTCAAGCAGCTGGCACCTCACACAGGAGCAGAGCTCTCACGCCGCTGACCCCTTCATACGGGGGGCATGGCTGTCTAGTAGCTGACACTTCACAAAGGGGCTGGAATCTCAAGCAACTGGCATTTCACACAAGGGAGAGGGCTCTCAATCAGCTGGGAGATCACACAAGGGCATGGTTCTCAAGCAGCTCATAGTTCAAATAGGGCTGGGCTCTCATGCAGCTGGTAGTTCTCACAAGAGCAGGGCTCTCAAGCAGCTAGCAGTTCAAACAGGGTCTGGGCTCTCACGCAGCTGGCACTTGACACAAGGGCATGTCTTTCAAGCAGGGGCAGTTCACACAGGAGCAGGGCTCTCAGGCAGCTGGCAGATCACACAGGGCAGGGGCTCTCTAGATGCTGGTAGTTCACACAGGGGCAGGGCTCTGAAGCAGCTCGCAGTTAACATTGGGGCAGGGCTTTCACGCAGCTAGCAGTTCACAAAGTGGCAGAGCACATGGCACTTCATGTAAGGGAAGAGCTCTATATCACCTGGCATGTCACGTAAGGGCAGGGCTCTATATCAACCGGCACGTCACGTAAGGGCAGGGCTCTATATCACCTGACACGTCACGTAAGGGCAGGGCTCCATATCACCTGGCACGTCACGTAAGGGCAGGGCTCTATATCACCTGGCACGTCACGTAAGGGCAGGGCTCTATATCACCTGGCACGTCACGTAAGGGCAGGGCTCTATATCACCTGGCATGTCACGAAAGGGCAGGGCTCTATATCACCTGGCACGTCACGTAAGGGCAGTGCTCTCAAGCACCTGGCACTTCAGTCAATGGCAGAGTTCTCCAGCAGCAGGCAGTCAACATAAGGACAAGGCTCTCAAGCAGCTGGCAGTTCCCACAGGGGGAGTGCTCTCAAGATGCTGACACTTCACACACGGGCTGGGCTCTCACACAGCTGGCAATTCACACAGGAGCAGGGCTCTCAAGCAGCTGGCATCTCACACAGAGGAAGGACTCTCAAGTAGCGGCAGTTCACACAGGGGCAGGGCTCTCAAGCAGCTGGCACTTCAAAAAGGGGAAGGGGCTCTCTAAAAGCTGGCAGTTCACACAGGGGCTGGGTTTTCAAACAGCTAACAGTTCACACAAGGGTTGATCACGGATAAACTAACCAGTCGATACACTTTGTGGGTGTGGCTGGCCTCCAACTCATTTAGGTTAGGTTACTACTGTTAATTCTTCTTATTGTAATAAATGTTAGTAAACGGTGACGGCTTTTCTGACAATTCTTATGTTTATTACACAATCTTTAACTAGTCATTGAAAAAACATTGATACAAATAAACAATATTTAACTAGTCATTGAAAAAAATATTTTATCCAAATAAACAATCTCTGAATATATACAAACAATATTTGGTATATTAGCCATATTTGAATAGTCACTGAAAATAGTGTAGGACTGGAAAATCTAATGTTATTGAACAACTGAATGAATAGGACGTCGGTTGTAAAGATATACATATGCAAAAGTCCTTATGGGGAACCACAGTCCCCATAAGGACTTTTGAGATAAACGTTCCTCGAAAAATTAGGCCTATAACCGACAATCGACATTATTCCTCGACATATGGGGTGCCAGAGTCGTGCAGTCTGAATAATTAAGACTACAAGCTCCTGGCCTCGTTTACACTACTGACAGTAAGGCTGAGACTCACCTTAGCACTGAGGGTTGAGACGCCGTCCGTGAAGAACATAAAGGAACTTAAGGGCTGAGACTCACCTTAGCCACAGTGCTTAGGGTTGAGGCGCCGTCCGTGAAGAACATGACAGAACAGTGAGGTTCCGACACCACGGCCAACACAGCTTCCACTCCACCGCTTAATAGTTCTAGTGAATCCTGACTCTCTGTGTAGTAATTATATTGAATACAGCTTTAATTTTTCTGCTAATATGTGGCCAGAGGTATTAAACTACATATATAAAATTATTTTTGGTATTATTTGTAATAAAGTTCAGGCTAAATAGAAAACAATGAATTGCAACACATAAATGGCTTAAATTAAGGATATTATAAAGCTGATAATATTCAAATACCATAAGAGCGTTGCAGATTAAGTACTGCAAGCTGAGAAGTGAGGCTCATTAAGAAGGGCAGTAGACCTAATGCAACTGCAGTCTTCATGATCACGTTGAGCGTATTCTGCCTCTTACTCAGCAAATACTCTTTAGTTTACCCTTCCAGTTTTTTCCTAATCTGGAAATTATAGAATTATAATGAATATAAAGAATAATATTTTACAGTGCCTGAAATTTCAGTTGAAAAAGAAATATAAAGCACTATTCCAAAGAAAAAAAATTGCCTGACTTATTGATTCTCCATTAAATTTTCTTATGATATAACACACATATGCACCAATACACACACACATTCACACACACTCACACACACACACATATTACTATCCCTCAGGAAGGTGGTAATGTATCTGTAGAAGGGACTTCAACAGTACAACCCTCATTTTCAGATATGATTAGAAAGATCCCTGAAGCTATTTCTGCAGTAAAGGTAGTTGCCATGAAAGCAGCTACTTTTCAGAAAGCGGCAATATGTAATAGCCGGATGATAAAGACGAAAAGAGCAGTAACCGTAATAGGTATTAAGAAACAAGTAGAACCCAGTCAAGGGGAGTGGAGAGATAAGGACAATGCCACAGTTAAAGAGATCTTGAAAAGGATACAGACGGAAAAGGCTGAACAAAATATAGAAAAGGTTTTCAGGCTTGGCTAGTACAACAAGAACAGATACAGATTCATAAAGGTGGTATTCATAAACAAGAACACGAAAGAGGACCTTCTTGCAAGGATGAGCAGACTATTAAATGTACCGAAGTACAAAGCAATACAAAGGATATGACAAGGGAGGAGATAATAAGTGTAGCAGAGCAAGGAAAGAACACAGAAAGAGAGAAAGAAATCAGGGAACCACAGCCCCATACCCTACAATCCCAGAGAAGAGTGTGGAACCCTTCGCAAGCAGTTCAGCAGCCCCATTGAGAGGAGCATCATGCTTACTTTCCACAAAATAGTAATCCAACCTGCCGCATCCCCTGCCAGCCCTCTTCTAAGTGTCCACCTAGGCCACCCTCCTCCCTCTCCACATAACCTCCCTTCTCCTCCACCCCCGATCCCACCCTTATCCTCCCCCCCCCAAGCCCTCCTTTCTTCCCGACCCTCCAAAGCCCTCCTTTCTTCCCGCCCCTCCAAAGCCCTCCCCCATTCTCCTGCCCTACCTCAAAGCCCACACTTCTCCCCCACCCCCAACCTATCCCTCCTCCTACATCCCCTAAGCCCTCCATTCTCTCCCTCTCCCCATGCCCTCCCTTCTCCCACAATCTCCAAGCCCTCCCTTGTCCCCTACCCCTTTCCCCAAGAACCCGAAGTCCTCCCTTCTCCTCATCCCCCCCCCCCCAAGTCTTCCCTTCCCCCCCTCTCAAGCTCTCCCTTCTCCCCCACTCTCCAAGCCCTTCATTCCCCCAAGTTCTCCTTTCTCCCTCACCACCCCATTCCTGCCTTCGTCCCTATCCTCCCCATACCCGATTCTCCTACCCCAGTTTCCCCAGGTCTGCCTTCGTAAGTCCTCCTATCCCATACCCTTTTCTCTAAGTAAACTTAGGGAAAGAGCACAAGAAGTGAACCCAGATATAATTGGACTCACAGAAACAAAACTCTTAGGAATCATAACAAATGCGGTGTTTTCCCAGGACTACATTTTGATAAGAAAAGAGAGGGAAGGAAGGGGAGGAGGTGGAGTGCCCCAAATAATGAGAAAGGAATGGGGGCTTCAAGGAGAACGTTATCTCAAGCTGTGAGGGGATTCAGAGACTACATAATAGGTACTATGACGATGGAAGTGTGAGGGGATGGTTCACTAGCTAACTTACAATAGTGCTCTTATGCTTGTGGGAGACAGTACACTTGTTAAGTGCCCTTGTTAAATGGGCGGACTTAAGTTTGGTAACCAGCAACTGAAACATCTAGTGTTTGGGCTCATGTGAGAGCCCCAGTCATCAGCAGTCCAGAAATGTTACCCTGGCCAGGGTAGCACGTCTGTGGACAGTGCTAGAGCCGATAGCATCATCTCATTGTATGGCATGAAGCGAGACTCGACTTTGTGCGGGAACAGCTAGGCCGCAGACGTGGGGTGAGCTGTGGGCCTCCCACGCTCGCTGGCCACTTGAGTCGTCGTCATGGAAACAGCCGCCATATTAGTAAACATCTTGAGCTGCCATGTTGGTCGGCCATCTTGGAGCTGCCCTAGGGGCTATGCTACACCGTCGCTGAGTGGATGAGAGGGGTAGGACGCTGTATGCCTTCCTCTCATTGGTTATTTCGACGAGGACGCGGGAATCGTCGATGTGAGCGTCATTCTGAACCCAGCTGCCACTCTGTCACTCTGTACTCAATTCGGCCAAATTGAGTATAGGGCGTCGTGGTGGCTGGACTACTCAACTGCTCCACCTCCAGCTTCATCTACGACAGGGTCGTCACAGAATCCGGCCGGAGTCGTCGCTTGAAGGGGGGGAAAAGACATTGTGAACAGTGAGTGGGTAGAGAAGATCTTGTGTTCTGGGATCGTGGGGTAATGTGCATACGAGCCGTAACAGACTCGTAGATCCCATACCAGTGATGATTAGACTTGCTAGTGCTCTGTAGCAGTCGATGGGGACGGGGAAATTCGTGTCAGTGTTCAAGGCAGATTTCCCATGTTTGTGTAAGACGCTATCGTTGTGTGCGTCACCTGGGTACGAACGCTTCACTTCACCGGTGGGTCGAGGATGCGAACCTCGATTCAAGTGCGCGCCAATTGTACGTAAAATACCACGAGAGGTACTACCGCCGCCTACGCCACCTACTACTGCCGTGAGCGAGTCAGCCACCCGTAGCGGGGTGCCTGATGTATGGGAATGGTGTGTAAGCCGGCAGTATGAATGAGTAAGTACCTATATGTGTATTTCTGGTGATCAGTTAGTCTCTAAAAGCTTGAATTCGAGGTCAAGTGTTCTGTCACATTGTCACGCAGCACCTGTGGAGGTGAAGTGGAGTGTGGACAAGGAGATAATCACCCTTATTGTCATCTTGTCAGCCCAGAGGGACTTACGTCTTGTGTACACAGACGTACAGTGTGTGTGTGTGTGTAGGTACACACGGGAACAGAGTATACATAGATTAACCAAGGACTGAGAGGATGCCCATGTAATAATTATATTATTCCATTGTGGCAATTAATCATTTTTGATCATCCGTGGGACAGAGTGATATCATTTCCATGTGTAGTCTTGCAGGTGTGGAATTCCAACACTGAGTATGTGTGTAACGTCAGTGATTCCTGGCAATGATTATTGTGGAGAGTGTACCACAGTGTAGTATATTTCTAGTATTGTTCCCAGGGCCGTGACAAGTGTGATTTATATATATATATATATATATATATATATATATATATATATATATATATATATATATATATATATATATATATATATATATATATATATATATATATATATATATATATATATATATATATATATATATATATATATATATATATATATATATATATATATATATATATATATGGCAATTCCACGACCAAGAGATGGCTTCCTGAACCTTGCAGGAATTAACCTCACTGAGGACCAAGTCACTCTCCTAAATCTGGGCATAAACTGTCATGTTATGTCCAGACCGAGTGAAATGGCCCGGAAAGTGGAGTTGGAAATTCTGTTGGACGACATATTCGACCTCGAGACACAAAAGAAGGTCACTACCAAAGATACCTTACAAGCAGAACTTATTGCAGAAGGAGGAAAGAATCGAGGCAACTACAGAAGCACCATACTGTCCCCCGAGCTTAGAGCGGCAGCTAAAAGCCTTCGTGAGAACAAGGAGATAGTTGTCAGGAGAGGTGACAAGTCGCCAATATATGTCATTCTTAAAAAAGACGAATATCTGGCGAAAATGAACATCATACTCTCTGACCAAACTAAGTTCCAAAGGGTAACGAAGGACACTACAGCCGAATTAAAAGCAAAGGTCAACAAACTGATCGAAACTGTGAACGCCAAGAAATCCGGACTCCACCTGCCAAAGATCATTGGGGAATATAAACCTGGATATGCGTATGGAAATGTCAAGACGCACAAGCCTGGAAACCCACTTCGGCCAATCATTAGCCAGATACCCACACCCACGTACAGATTGCCGAAGCGACTCAACGGCCTGCTGACTCCTTATGTTCCTTGCGCCTTCAGCCTGAAGTCTCCAAAGGAATTTGTGGACTTACTGCGGGGCGCACGGGCCACAGGGATAAGAGCCTCGTTGGACGTAGAATCGTTGTTTACCAATGTACCTGTGGACGAGACAATCGGAATGATAGCCGACAGAGTGTATCGTGATCCAGCCTGTACTCCTCTTGACATGCCAGAAAGTATTCTGAGGAAACTACTCCAAGCTTGTACTAAAGAGGCACCCTTCTTGAGCCCGGATGGGCACATGTATAAGCAAGTAGATGGGGTCGCCATGGGTTCTCCCCTAGGTGTCCTGTTTGCAAACTTCTACATGGGTACCATCGAGCAAAAAGTCTTAGTCGACATGAACTTGAAACCGGCCATATACTGCAGGTATGTTGACGACATTTTTACACAGGTACCTGATGTCAGACATCTGCAGGAGCTGAAGGAGGCATTTGAGCAGAGTTCCGTGCTGCGTTTCACTTACGAGACGGAAAAGGATGGGAAGCTGTCTTTTCTAGATGTAACAGTCATGGAAAAGGGCGGAGGTTTCCACACTGCAGTCTACACAAAGGAAACAAACATAGGAATGTGCCTAAATGCCAACAGCGACTGCCCTGACAGGTACAAGAGGAGTGTTGTTAACGCATACGTCGACCGTGCTCTCAGCCACAGCTCAGAATGGAAGCAAGTCGACGAAGAACTCTGTAGGGTAAGGCAGGTTCTAGTCAATAACGGCTTCTCCAATGGTTTCATCGAAGACATCATAAGAAGGAAAGTGAAAATCCATGCAACCTCCGAAGAGACAACTAACACAACACCTATACCCCCTATTAGACTATTTTACAGGAACTTCTTTTCCACAGCTCATAAAACAGAGGAAAGGGTC